AAATTCTTTATAAAGTATATAGTTTCAGAACTAACAAAAAGTTGTAACGTTTGTTCTCTTATTCTACCATCTTAATAAACATAAGCAAAAGCCACATTAAAAGAGTCTTTGAGAGTAACACCATATACACAACAAAATGTGCGAAATCTAAATTATTAAATGATATGGTAACGTCATGTTTTAAATCTATGGATCTTTCTACTTTTATTTTACAATAAAAAATAACTATCAGTATGACGAGTGAGGCTAGCCTAATTAGTTATAAGCCTCTCTACCCCAATTATAAATTGAGAGTTTGAGTTATTTTGAGTCCCACTTAAGAATAGGGACATTCCACCCTTTTCTTGTAAAAAAAAAAAAAAAAAAAAAAACCAGTATAATTTAAAGCAAAAGTAAAAAAGAAATGCCTTAAAAAAGGAAAAAGAAAAGAGGACTCCATTCCTAAATTTAATTTATTAATAACCTATTATATAAATGTCACTATCAACTTGTATTGCTTATTTATAGATTATAAATTATAGATTACTATTTGGTTGCTTATAAACTAAATAACCATTGATAAATGAAAGTATTTACTATGTTAAACATTGAATGTTGCCAAATTCATATCCATATATATATATATTAACACACAACCACTACATAAATATAATAGGAAATTAATATATTTTTTTTTCCTAATTTTATTTTTGTGGTCATTTTCTTCTAATGCACGATGGCTGCTGGTTGGAAACAATGAATGGAGGGAATGGTAAATTTACAAACAAATGATTGTTATCTTCTTCCTCATCATGTGAAAAGTACGTAAATTGAAAAAAAAAAAAAAAAAGCTTTCAACACAATGGAGACAAGTGGTGGCATTATATTTGATTAGGACTGTTTGGTACCAATAAGTGGGGGAAAATTGAACTTTTTTTTTTCTTTTTTTATCGGCATTATATTTGATTATGACTTTTTTACAATGGCACTATGATAATACAAAATGCATATGTTCTCAATTATTGTTACAAGGCCGGTACTAAAGAAATGCCCATTAAAGTTCTGGCTTTTGGCTTTTGTTTGTTTGTTTGTTTTTTTTAACATTTAATAAAAATGACGACGCCCTATTATAGAGACATGAATTTCCCTACTTATTGATCTTTTTTTTTTTTTTTTTTTTTTCCAATTGAATGATATTAGAGATTTCAAATGATTTAGCAAGTAAATTGACATTTTCTAATTGATGAACGTGTTTAAAAACTCATTTGTCAGATTAATCGATACAAAATATTTAGGCCTCGTTAACTTCGTAGATTCGAATTGAGATGTAACATTTTCTGAGAGCTTTTAACTGTAACAGAAAAAGTTAGATGTGACATTTTCTGAGAGCTTTTAACTGTAGAAACTTAAAACTGAAAACTCGAATCGGTAAAATGAAAAGGCCTTAGTTGATCATTTGGCACCATATTAGTATATTACTTGGTGCCTTTGGATCTTTGAAGTTGTTAATGTATTAAACTATCAAAATTGGGATACGGAATTCCATGAAAAAAACCATAATTGACTCAAAATATGTCACTTCAATCTTTAGTGATTAAATTATAAAACATACAAGTGAGAACGGTTTGGCTGTAATTAATCATTGTATAATTTAAATGCTTATCAATTGTATCATGAATTTCACATTAAGTTATGCATGAATAAATATTCTAATATATAGTCAATTTTGAGAGAGATATTATAAGGAGCAAAATTGTTTATGTTTAATCTTTATATATATATATATAGATATATATATATATATATATGAAAAATGCAAGAGTTCCGATTCTAATTGGCCACAATTGAAGATCTTTCTTGTCTGTACAAGGGCTGTTACACCAAGAAATTGTGCAAATCTTGTGTCCTTTCTTTTAAAATAGTTGAGACAAACAAAAATATATGGGTGTGTAACACGTGAACCCGGACATCAAAATGAGAAACATGCAAATTTGACATTTTACTTTTTCCACCATGGGAGTTGCTCGAAAAGATCTTGAAGAAATGAACTACTAAAAAGTTTTTTATTTTCAGCCATCAGATTTGTATAAAAAATTGTCGATTCTGCATACTTTTTTAACTTGATATAATTTTAATTAGATCGAACGATAAAAAACTGACAATGTCCGGAGATCCTACTAGAAAAACCCCTTGAAAAAAATATAGTAACAGTAAATGCCATGTGAAAACGAATTATAGTCCTGCATTGGTTTTCCTTTTCTAAGAAAAGAACAACGTTTTTTCATTTTTGATTCTAGGTATCATAGTACAAGAGAAATAGTTGAAGTTGTCAAATTTTTATATAGTAAGTAAATCTCATAGCTTTAGTTGTTATATACATTGTTTATGTGTGATACCATTATTTACTTTTTTCTTTTAATCACAACAAAAAGGTATTTTGTCTTGATCTTAAAAGAAAGAGACGAATAGTTCGTGAAGGAATGAGATAAATATCCTTTAGAATGTATGAATATGAATTTTAACTATTTATTTTTAATTAATATATTTTGTAGTTAAATAATTACATTAGTCAAAAAAATATTAATCAAGAGTAGAATAAAAATTCAAACTCATATATTTTAAAGATAAGTTCAATAATTTTCTCGTAATTTATTTTCATCTCGGCTAGATGTGTTTTTAACGGTTCTTATATCTTGCCAGTCATAAACACCAATATTGGTGCTATCTAAATCTAAAATGTGGTCCTAAAAGTCCCTGTAGTTGGTTACTAGTGCTTTGAAAGTTCTCCATAAGTTCATTTATGTCTAGATGTGAACGTATCAATCCTCCGTAAAACGCTCAAGAAAATAGATTATTATTGTTATTATTTAATTTTATAATGAATTTCAATATATTTACATGAATTGAGGGGGTGAAAACGACAAATTTTGAAGCTTAAGGGGCATTACTAAGGTAAAATTAAAAACTATGGTTTTATTTTTTATTTTTTTAAATTATATACACTCTGAAGTTTAGGAGGCAAGTCACAACAAATGCATAAATCGGAGGTGAAAATCTAAGGGTGCGTTTGGAACTCGTTTTAAAATGATTTTATTTTTTGTATGAAAATAAAAATGAAAACGTTTCAATCTCAGACTGAAATTATTTTTGAAAATGCGTTTGGTAGTTTTATCAAAAAATTATTTTCAGTGTAAAAAAACCCGTTAATGTCTCTCGTTCTCTCTCTTTGCTCGAGAGAGGAGAAAACAAAAACAAAAAATGAAAAACGATTAAAAGTCGTTTTTCATTTCTCTCTCATTTTACACTAAACCAAAAAATCGTTTTCATTTTCGTTTTTTTATATTTATTGCGCTAAACGCCGTTTTAGAAACGTTTTTATTTTTTTTCTCAAAAAACGTGAAAAATAAAACGGAATTAATTATAAACACGGCCTAAAATTTGTCAAAGTTTTTAATATCGTAGAAGGATTTAAATTGTGAATCTCAATAATATTGAATGTGAAACTATTTAATATGAGACTAAATTCCAACTTTTGCCACTTTTTCTTTTTAATTTATTTTTTTGTACACCAAGCAGAAAGAAATAAAAAAGAAAAGTATGACCCCAAAAATATGCGTGAATTGTGTGAATTCTCTTGACCGTTACCCCTTTTTGATAAAGGATTCATGCATGGACAAACCAGCCTGCATGCCAAAAAAAAAAAAAAAGGATTCACATTTTGCATGTGTTTAATATTTGTTTGTACGTTACGTTTTCCAAGTGGGCCTTAGTTTATTAAGCCGAAGCTTGAAATGATTTCAAACTAGGAACAGATTACAGAAAACAAAAACTAGATTTAACTTTTTAGAAATGAAAAGCAAAAACATTACAAAACTAAAACACAAATGATATGAAGAAACAAACATATATATATATATATATAACTTGAGCAAAAAATAAAAAAAGATATATATAAAAGTGGCTATTCTTTGCTTGTACTCCACAAGGGAGACTACTGTTTAATAATTCATTTAGGCAATTTGATAAGCTCAAAAACAATGGAATATGGAGTATGTCATCACCATTGTTTCTTTTTCTAAAAAAAAAAAAAAAATAATAATAATATTGGAATCCAGATGTCTGGTTGTTTTTTTTTTTTTTTTTTTTTTTTTTTTTTTTTTTTTTTTTTGTGACTAGCTAAATTGGTCAGTCCTAGCTAGCCACCCATATCGTCACAAGTGAATAATATGACATTGCATATAGTTGCTATCAAATTGGACAGTTTCTTCAATGGATAAAAAATAATAATAATAAAAAAAATTATATCCCACCGCCCTAGTATATGTTTTTTATGTTAGGATTACATATTATAAAATGAAAGTAACATAAAACTTATATGAGATTAGTACAGCCTTGACATCCTCTTCTTCACTTGTCACAATTGACCAGTCTTAAATTCCACTCCAATCAACATATATTTTATTATTACTATTGTTATTGCTATCACTATTATTATTATTATTATTATTATTAAGCATAGCAATTTGGTATGGAGTTGTCCTGAAAAGGAGAAGTGGGGGCAGTGACAGATTGAAACTTTGTTTTCGCAATGCCCCATGTTGATGAAGAAATTTCTTGAAACCTTTCAAGAAACAATTCTTATTGTTCAAACATTTATTTCAAAGAATACTGGTAGGGCACAGCGCGAGCTTCCGACATCGTAAGGGAGGAGGTGAGCCCCGCCCTATTGTCTAGGGTTCATCCGTGTCTTTTTCGATGTCGGCGCTCATGAAGCCCTCGTCTATGTTAAAAGATCACGAGTCCAATAAAGCCCAAACAAACTCGAAAGGGCAAAAAAAAATTTTTTTTTTTAAAAATACAAATGAATGAATTTCACATTTCACATAAGTATGAAAATGTTACAATATATGATCCCATGATAGGAGAATGCCTTTAGTAGTTTATGTACACATTTGAAAGAAGTTGCTCTAAACCTCCCAAAGCTCTAGAAACTCTTTAAAAGGGAAAAGCATAGATCAATACAAATAGCCTTATATCAATCATACAAAGCCCAAGGGCTAATTTGGTATTGCTTTTAGAAGCCTCATAACTAGTTTTTGAGAAGCTAGATTTTTTGAATCCCAACTCCTGACTCATGCTTCTACTTCTTTCGCTATAAGTAAAAGTAGAACTTCTTCAAAAAGCACAGGAATCCCAAACTAAGCCTAATACTGATATTACAAAATTGATATTACACTTGCTCACAGCCAAGATTATGTTGTGTTTCCCATCTTTGTATACATTGTTTGTAGTCCTTTTTCATCACAGTGTCATCTTTCCGTGTCAACTAAAAGAGCCAGCAACTCGGTGTCGTTCAGGGCCGATCCTGAGACGAGCTTGAGAGGGGTGTTACCCTCTCTGTCAATGGCTTTCACATTAGCACCCCTGCAGAGTAGAAGTTAATGTGCCTTGTGACAGAAGAAACAAGATCAACGGACACTACAAGAAAAAACGTCTACTTAAAAGGCCCCCCATTTCATCCTTCCTAAATAACTTCAGTGGAATTCTAATTTTTCCCATTCATCTGACTACTTGTTATATGAAAATACGTTCTTCCCATTTTAAGAGAGAGCCATATTTGAAATAAAATCTCAGCACATATGGTAAAGGTCTCAACCAGTAAAAATATAAGGCCATGGATTTTTGTAACCAGTAAATGTGGATTATTGCAAACGATATGACGTTTGTTTTTGTTTCTTTTCATAATACAATATCCTTTTCTTCCTCTGCAAAGAGAGAGAAAGGACAAGTCAAAATGGAAACCACCGGAATAGCGGTGCAAGTCCGACTAAAGATCATAGAGTTATCAACAAAAGTTGGTTAACAAGTTGTAGCATTCGGACAAACTACTAATAGATATGTTACTTATCTAAGTAATCTGGTCATGAAATAGAATTTAAAAAAAATAAAAAAAGATAGTAACATAAGAACCATGGAAAAACTGCTGAAAAAGTTTAAGTCCACGCAAATCTTTTGCGTTTAAATTAGGTATCTTGTGCGTGATCTATATGCAAGAACATTATTGTAGATGCTGAATGAATAATTTTGTACCATTTACTAAAGAAAAATGCCATTTATCACCACTGCCTACGTATGTGGCAGTACTTTAAAATTGTCACATAACAGAGTAGGACACAGTTCTATTGCTTTTTGTCATGTGACAGTTCTCTTTTACTATGACACTGATATGTGTAACGATGAATCACCGTTGGGGATTAACAACAGTGCTCTTTACCAAGCCTAGATGAGAAGGTATTCTATAGAGATTTTATGGTTAAAGGAATGCGAAGACGCACCTCATTATAAGCATTTTGGCAATTCCAGATTTTCCCCTCATGGCGCAATAATGGAGTGGGGTCTGACCTTTTGCATCAGAAACATTTATGTTTGCACCATATTGCAAGATCAGTTCTACCATGCCAACATCGGCGGTTATGCAGGCTAGGTGGAGTAACGAACAGCCTCCGGGAAAGTCCTCTATAAGCTGATCTTCATTCTTATCAAATGGACTAATGTAACTTGAGGAATGCTTCTCTCTAGAATTACCTGCAAAAGTAAAATTAGTTGGTGACTCCAAAACTTTCTTGCTCAACCAAAACTGTCTAATTTTTGCAGGCTTCAAGGATGTACTCTCAAATGCTTGTCCACTGGATGTACAATTCACGTCTACTTCGGAGCTAATGATGCACCGGTAAACGGCTTTCTTGTCATTAACAAAGACACCTTTCCACGCCTGTTGCTGTACTAGATGGAGATTATAGTTGTCTCTCATATCGCGAACGAAAGCTTTTTCGGAGTACTGCAATTAAAGCTTATTCTATCAAAAAGTGAACAAATTCAATGAAAAAGAAAAACAGACAAAGAAAGCTAATACCTTGGCATGAATGAATTTCTCCTTTACTGAAATGAGATCATCATGACAGGGCTTTCTCATATAGAACAGCTTGTTCCTGTCGGACTTGGCGGAGCTAGATAAAAAGAAAAAGTTAAAAATAAACAAACAAAAACTAAAAGGACAAAGCATAAGTATATATATTATCAGTCAAAATCAAACTATGTGTCACTCACCCTGTGATCATGTCATCAGCGTGAAAGGTGCTTTTTGAATACAACAGCTCCTCCCAAATCGAGTTTGTGTACATGTTTCCCATTGATTCAAAGAAGGCTATTACAGAATTTTCCCACACTTTCACATCAAGAGTCAATGATCTAACCTATAAAACCGGTTGTTCGAGAAAAGCAGAAAGTTAAAGCACAGAAAGTGTACAACTATTAGGAGGACTAGAGTAAGTACTTGAGCCACAAACCGTGACACAAATGAGCACTCGGTATAAGAATGAGAAATCATTATTACTTACTTTTGATATATGAACACCGAGATTACGATGAACACCCGAACATTCGATGCAAATTAGAATTCCAAGGTTCAAGGATGCCCAGTCTGGCTCAGGTGCGCCACAATCGGCGCATTTTTCATTCCCACACACTCTTCTTAGTATGTCAACTGGCTTCTCACTGTTCCTACTATCTGCACGCCAGTGAAAACTTCTCGAAGCCCTTAAATAATTAGTAGCGGTATAGGTCTTCGACGAATGGTCTTGAGGAGCAGCTTTCTGATCAATGTCGAGTGAAGTTTTGAATAAATTTCTCTTGCTCACTGAGAATTGGTCACCGCTTCTCATGGAACCAGCCGAGAGATTCTGACAAATTAATTGTTTTAGTATCATTACAACAAATATGGCCATCAGAAACAGCATATTGAATGAAAAACTCCTTACATTTACCATCTCAGGTCCCTGGAAATTCAACAACGAAGCGATTGCTCCGGTTATTTTTTTAATCCAATCCATCTGGTCAACTGCATTCTCTGCCTACATCACCATAAAAAATAGAGGAAAATATCAATATATTTGGTGAATTGCCTTACCACAATTTACCATCTGACTGTGTCAAGATATATCTTGAGAAGTTACCTGCAATGTATAGGTTTTGGTCGGCGAAATAATCCTGAAGCAGAATCTTAAATCCGTTTGATCTGCGTCAACCTTTATCGTTGATGTCAGCAAGTTTACGGTGTGATGTGCAATGGATCTTTCATCATGTCCACTACCATGATGATGAGAAGAAAGCAACCGGCCAAGTATCCCATGACCATTCTCAAAGGAACCTTTTTTCTGTGGAGAAGACTGAGTTCCAGACTGAAATGTATAGTCAAGATGTAAATAAGCAGAAGAGAGAAAACAAATAATAATTAAAAGATTACCTTCCAGCTAGTAACTTACAGAAGGCCAGCCCCACGCCTTGCGGTAGTAGTACAACATCCCTCTACTATCAAGAACAAAAAATCTTCTCTTCCAATCACCCCGCAAGTTGGAGGAGCGCTTTGAAAGATAGCCTTGCCGAATGGTTTGTACCTTGAGAAAGTGCATAGAATGGCCATGGCAATGTAAAATTAAAATCAGTCTCGAGCGAAAGCCTGGACTTAAGAGCCCATTTGTTTCACAGGTTTGGATCAAAGCTCAAACCTTTTTGCTATAGTGTTTTCTGTAATAAAAAATTTGAATTTATGTTTAAATTTTCTATTCAAACCTATGAACCAACGGGCCATTTGTCATAAAATGGTGTTTTAAGTAAAATGGGAACGCTGAATACCTTTCCCTTTGCAGTGGATTGCATCACGGCCTGTATCTCCTTGTGTGATCGCCAAGCGAAAGGCTGCATGCTGTCTCCATTCGTAGAAACATGAGAGCCATTTATTGTTTCTCTACTTTCAGTATCGGATTGCTTTTTGTACTCTAGCATCCTTACTATTAAAGATACCTGCTCATGGTTGGAGCTTTCTCTCGACTGTTGAGCATGACTCAAAATCTGTAACAAAAAAAAGACCTGAACTTTGGAATAATCCGTTTAAAAAAAAGTTGACACAAGGAAATCATTAAGTTTTTTATGATAACATTAGTTCTGCAGTGTATTTATTAAATAACATTTGAATTTTCATGGGAAAATGTTGAAGTAGAAGATGAGTTTATCTCCTTATTAGGTTGAATTTACCTTATGACATGTTTTATTTCTCTATGAATACATCTAGCAATTGAGTTTTCGGATCATATTTTGATTGATAATATTGAATATACAAGTTGTACTTCTCACGAGTTCATGTTCTCTCTCTAAAATTATCTCTTTGCAATCCCTTTTGTCTCTCAAATCTGTATTGGTTCTATCTTTCCATCTCAATTCCATTTCTTCTCTCGTGGTTCGACATCGTATCTGATTAGAAACCCACCGCATTACTAAGAATCTAACTCTCAATAGTTGGTATTTGGATTCTAAAAGAAACAGGAGTTGGTGTCCTATTACTTTAGAAAGAAATCTATTTGTTTTCTATGCCAGCAATCAAACTGTCTACAACCAAGATCACTAAGAAAATTTTTATGCTGTTGACCTGATTAATGTAGGGTTCCATTTGGTGTAGCAGCTCATAGCCCTGCAACAAGAGATAATACGAGAACAAATGAGAAGCAGCAAATCCCCAAGTTAGCACGTTGGCTGGAAAATCACCATATGGTTTCATCATATTGTACCTGTTTAAAATAACGAAGATGAGCATCCATCATTCCGCTGACAGCCTCCAAAAATTCAAACCTCTTTTTGGCCTCAATGTCGGAGAGCGCACTGACCTGTAAGTGGAAGTGAACATACAGTTAAAAGCTTAGCTGTTTCCATATGAAAGCCTCTATACCAAACAATCAACAAGTGGTTGTTAGAATTAGTTTACCAGATTAAAACGCGCTTCATCGAATGAGGACCTTGCATTGTTCATTTCCTGGAATCCCTCTCTACCAAATTAGATTTAATAATGGTTACCCATGGAAAAAGTATCTTAAGTTGTGATAGAAAAAAAATTCAACAGTATGTTAATTTCGATGTAAACTATAGTCTACTAGTGGATATACCTGCTCAATAACGGCGGCAACATCCAGCCTAGTGCTCTTCCTCAATGACAGAAACTTCTCGCGTGCCTGTCACACAACGAGCGACGAGATCAGACGTATTAATTGAGGGAATAGGTCTTTGAACAGCATTTTATTTCCAGAAAATTCAGAGAGTTCCATAGTCCATACAGATAAGCCCTTAATCTTATTTACAACTATAGTTACACTTGATCAAGTTTGAGTCCAAGACAATCGTATGAGTCTGTATGACATGACTAATATCCTTTAGTTTTGCATAAAAACTGGCAGTTTACTCTTCGGTGGAAAATTGTGAGGGAATTTTCAATCAGTTCTCCTATTTTAATTCTCTAGTTCTGATTTCTACCGTCCATGCAACGTGTTAAAGATCCCTTGGGATGAAGATAAATCTACTTATGGCACAAGAAATATACCACAGCTATCTAAACAGATCTTTCAAACAGAACTTAAGATGTAAGAAGTGCATTGTGTCACATGGTCCGTGAGCCATGCTTATTAAGTTTCCCAATTAACAACCACTAATAAAATACAACAAAGAGCCACCTGATCGTGCGTAAATGAAGCCTTGTCAAAACGCTTTCGGGCTTCCTGCATTAATACAACATACCCTTAGTGAAAGAATGAAATTTGCTGATTTTAAAGTTTTTTTTTTCTACACAGTTTCATGTCATATGCATGTGCAATCAAATTGTGTACCATAAACAGTATACCTTTACATCGTGAAGGTAGACGTTGACAAACTGTTGGAGCCGGTCATTTAGCACATGCTCTACCTAAGAAAGCCATTTGAAAGCAAACTAAAATTAGCAAAATCAATCAGAAAAGTTTCCCTCGTACATCTTATTTAAGCAAAATGGCACGTGTGGAATGCGTTACAGGCATGCAGGATTGCCTCGTTCCATTCTTGACTACAGAACAACCAAACCATCCTCTGTCCAAGATAACCAACTAAAACAAAAGACCAAAAGGCAGCAATAGTTGAAGCTAATTGGTAGAAACATGGACACATTGCAGTATTATCAGACACCCTTATGTTACTTGCAGTGAGATTATCGCCAAAAACTCTGTTGCGTACAGTTTAAGATCGAAAAACATAATATCATCAACTTGCACTAGAATCCTCTAAGCAAAACCAACAAAGTTCTGCTTTGGCTAAAATACTTAGACAGCATATGCATATTGTGGAAATTCTGCAATTAATTTCTGATTTCCAGGATATTTACAGCATGTAAATTAGTTGTTTATTTTTTTTCCTTAAATAGGAGATTTAGGAGGATTGTTACCAGATTTCTATTTTCCTAGTTTTTAGTCGGATTTGGTTGACAGATGGTTATGTGTAATTAGTCTTGATTTTATTTCCATAGTCAGAGATTGAGGTCGATTACCTCTCTTGTATATAATCATGTACTGTTATTCTGATTTGTAATGAGAATCGTTATTCCTTTCCAAAATCTTGATGGTATCAAAGCTGTGAAACTCTCTGATGACCAAGTACGGTATAGCGACCGAAAAACAGCAGACCACCTCCTCAAACTCATCCGAAGTGACCTCCAATCCAGAAGCAAGTGTCCCTGCTAATCATGGAGGATCGGATGGAAGTCTTCTCCCCATTATAAGTCATAAACTGAATGTGGACAATTATCTCCAGTGGTCGCAACTGCAATGATGTTCATATATGGCAAAGGAGAGGATGATTATCTTACCGGTGTTGCTGCTCCACCTCTGGAGAAGGATTTGAAGTTCAAAGTGTGGAAATAACATGGTCATGGCATGGCTCATCAATTCCATGACCAATGAAATCGGAGAGAATTTCCTACTCTTCAAAACCGCAAAGGAAATTTGGGAGGTAGGGAGAGAATTCTACTCAAGCAAAGAAAACACCTCAGAATTGTAAGAGATTGAAAGCGCCCTTCATGATTTACAGCAAGGTGATCTCTCTCAATCAATATTATGGTACGCTCTCACGGCAATGGCAGCAACTCTATTTATTTGAGGAGCATGATTGGAGTCGTTCAGAGGATGTTATCAAGTGCATGAAAATTGAGAGGAAAAGGGTTTATAAGTTCCTAATTGGACTCAATAAATACCTTGAAGAAGTTCGTGGATAGCAGGAAGAAAGTGATGATGGGGCCTCCGAGCATGTTGCCAGTAGCGGAAAATTTAGCACTTGCTGTTCGAGGAGGTCAAACTCCCACCAATGACAACCAGAGGAGATGAAGGCCTTGGTGCGATCATTGTCGAAAGCCCGGACACACTAAGGAAACATACATGAAAATTCATGGAAAGCGTGCTGATTGGAAACCCTCATGCTTTTACCATGATAGGAAAACCCGAAGCAATCTTGCCTCTGTTGATGAAAGCAGTGCACAGCCCAAACCAAGCCTATTCAGCAAAGAGCAACTGGAACTTTTGCATAAAAATATCACTGATTCACATTCGTTCTCCATGATTCACAGTGATGTGTGGGGCCATCTAGAATAAAAAATATCACTGGAACAAGATGGTTTTGTTTTTTTTGTAGATGATGACACATGGATCATTTGGGTATTTCTCATGAAAGAAAAATCAAAAGTTGAGCAAATTTTCAAAATTTTTCACAATATGATTCAAACTCAGTTTCAAGCAAAAATTCAGATTTTGAGAATGTCAAAGAATACTTTAAAACTATACTTGGTGATTATCTATTGAGTCAGGGGATAGTACATCAAAGATTTTGTATTGACACACCTCAATAAAATGGTATTGTAGAGCGAAAAAATAAACATCTTTTAGACGTTGCTAGGTCGCTCATGTTTTCCACACATGTTCCAAAATTTTTCTTGGGTGAGGCAGTCTGACTGCAACATATCTTATAAATAGAATGCCATCTCGTGTCTTAACTATCAGTCTCCATGTCAAGTCCTTCTTCAGTCATATCCCAACACTCGTTTAATCTCTACCATCCCAGTTAAAGTGTTCGGATGTTCCACATTTTTCCATGTGCACCAATAAAACCGTAGCAAACTCGATCCAAAAGCTATCAAGTGCATATTTGTAGGATACTCTCCAAACCAAAAAGGGTACAAGTGCTATTCGCCTATCACAAGAAAATTCTATAATTCCATAGATGTTGTTTCTACTCCAAATATGATATTCAAGGGGAGAGCTATTTTACACAGGAATACCAGCTTTAGGATATGGAGAATTCTCAATCAAACACTCTAGAAATTACTCATATTCTTCCAAGTTCCCAAAATGAGCAATCCGAGACATCTATTCCTGTCCAATCCGAGACACTTGTTCTTGTTCCACAAACAGAAACCAAATCAAGTCACCAATTAAGCCCTCAAACAATTCCACAAGGTCTATCTCCATCCCGAATATTTCCTTCTTCTCCTCAACATAAATCTGCAGAAAACAGTCTGTTGCGTGTCTATGCAAGGAGAAGCAAAGACCAAGAAAGGACCGAATACCAAGCACATCCTGAGCAAGGCCAAGAGTCTGAACCGAATTCAAGAACACATGAAATTACACAAGGTAACACCAGCTCATATTGATCCTTCTGTCAATGATCTTGATCAGTCCATGGCCGTGAGAAAGGGGATTAGATCTTGCACCAATCATCCAATTTACAGTTTTGTTTCATGTGAAGGACTATCACCCAGGTTTCGAACATTTGTTGCCAAATTTGATGAGTAGCAGATTCCCAATACAATTCATGAAGCTCTAAAGGTACCGGAGTGGAGAGCTGCAGTATGGGGAGAAATTTGGGCACTTGAGAAAAATGGGACTTGGGAAATTACAGATTTACCAACTGGGAAATGTCCTGTAGGGTGCAAATGGATTTTCACAATCAAGCACATGGCAGATGGAAGTGTGGATAGATTTAAAGCAAGACTTATCGCGAAGGGTTTCACTCAGTCTTACGGAATTGACTATCAGGAGACATTTGCTCTATTTGCAAAACTCAACACCATCCGACTCCTTTCCTTGGCTGCCAATTTAGATTGGCCTCCCTTTCAATTAGATGTCAAGAATGCCTTCCTCAAAGGAGATCTAAAGGAAGAAGTCTACTTGGAAATTCCTCCAGGCTTTGAGACACAAGCTAATGTCAACAAGGTCTGCAAACTCAGAAAATTCATATATGGCCTCAAGCAATCTCCAAGAGCATGGTTTGACGGGTTTACCAAGGTTGTTAAGAGGTATGGATATTCACTATGTCAAGCTGATCATACTTTGTTTGTCAAGCTGATCATACTAGCTATACTCATTGTGTATGCAGATGATATGATATTAATAGGAGATTATGGGGATGAAATGAGGAAGCTGAAGGCTCTCAGATATTTACTTGCAATGGAAGTAGCTCAATCAAGAAAGGGTATCTCAGTCTCTCAATGAAAGTATGTTCTTGACCTCTTAAAAGAAACAGGAATGCTCAGTTGCAAACCTGTTGATACACCAATGGACTCAACAGTCAGGGTCGGGAGAAAGGTTGACAGTGTGCCTTTGGACAAAGGTAGATATTAAAGACTTGTTAGGAAACTCATCTACCTATCTCACACTAGACGTGACATTAGCTTTCCAGTTAGTATGGTGAGTCAATTTATGAACTACCAACAAAAGAAAACATAGAGGCAGTTTTTCGAATATTAAGGTACCTGAAAATGACTCCAGGAAATGGTCTATTCTTTCAGAAAACCTCAAACAAGGACATCGAGATATTTACAGATGCTGATTGCACCGGATCAACCAATTATCCAAATCCACTTTTGGATATTGCACTTATTTTGAGGGAAATTTTGTTAATTGGCGGAGTAAGAAACAATCAGTTGTGTCAAGAAGCAGTACAGAAGCAGAACTTAGAGCTATGGCGCATGGAATTTGTGAGGGAATTTGGTTGAAAAGAATACTTGAAGAGCTAAGAATACCAAGTAAAGGAACTATGAAAATGACTTGTGATAATCAATCTGCCATTAGCATTGCTAAGAATCCAGTTCATCATGACAGAACAAAACATGTGCAGATAGATCGCTACTTCATTAAGGAGAAGATCGAAGGGGGAGTAATCGAGCTACTACATGTGGCAACATCTCTTCAAACGGCAAACATTCTTAGTAAAGCTCTACCAAGGTACCTCTTTGATGATTTAAGTTCAAGTTAGGTCTCATCAACATATACAACTCAACTTGAGGGGGAGTGTGGAAATTCTGTAATTAATTTCTGATTTCCAGGATATTTACAGCCTGTAAAGTAGTTATTTATTTTTTTCCTTAAATAAGAGATTTAGGAGGATTGTTACCGGATTTCTATTTTCCTAGTTTTTAGTCAGATTTGATCGACAGATGATTAGGTGTAATTAGTCTTAATTTTATTTCCATAGTTAGAGATTGAGGTCGATTACCTCTCTTGTATATAATCACTGTTATTCCAATTGGTAATGAGAATGATTATTCCTTTCCAAAAATCTTGACTATCAAAGAATAGAAAAAGAAGCAGAAGAAGAGCAGAAGCAACACCAAATGTATACGTGCATATATATATATATATATATATATGTCATTAGGACTGATATATAAAATTGAAGGATAGATTTGAAAAGATGAAGTTGTACCTGGGACTGAAGAGTTTCTTTATACATCCCAATTTCCCTTAAGGCGATTGAGAATCTGGTCAAGGCATGGCCTGAGAAAGTAGTATGAATTTGAAAGACTTAAAAAAGGAGGTTTAGCCACTATATTTCTTCTGGAGCTTTTCAATATAAGAATTTCAAGTTAAAAAAAAAAAAAGAAGAAAAAGAAAAGAAAATCACCGGTGTTGCCTCTTTTTTGAGAACATTAGTGTTCCTTGTTTATCAGCCGTCGGATTTGTATTACTTTTTTAATCTGATTTGACTTTTGATCACATTTAATACAGATTCGACGGTTGATAAGTATAGAACACCGGTGTTTCTAAAAAAGCGCGAATACCAGGAAAAGTCCCTTATAATAAATGAAAAAAGAAACGAGATTGATACGACTTACTTCTATGATGGTAGGGAACAGAAAGATTGATTGGCTTACCTCCTAAAGCCATAAAATCAGGGTCATTGATATCTCCTCCAAAAGTGTCAAGTGCACTTGCAAAAGCAAGGTCCCCATCAAACCCTTCTCCGAGACCTTCGCTGAGAATAAAACATAACAAAGCACATAAGAGCATTAAACACACACAACATACAAAAACACAGGAAAGCCCTAAAAGGATAGTAATTCAGCTTTCAACTCTTGGATAGCCTATATTGTTTGGAACAGTTATCAACAATGTTGTCAAAAAAAAAAAAAAAAAAAAAAAAACCACTCGAAAAATTTTGACAGCCAAAACGATTCGTTAACTTCAATTCATTTACAATTTCCATAAGACACTATTGATGAGGTTCTCAGTGCTACAAATGTTGCTTCAAAATTGATATAGAATATTAATTTTTTGTTACCCTTTTTCCTTTCCCCCTCTTTTCTAACACCGAAAATTATACAGAATATAATCTGTTTTTGAATGTTCAGCTAGAAAAAGAGATTGAATTTGGTTCCTTTCTTCATTGACAAGCAATTGAATCTTCCTATGAGGGAATACACAGTTATGGTTGCATAAACTTACGTATATTTTCGACATCCCTTGTAAAACTTGTAACATCTTCCCCTCAAAGACTCTGCACTTTCTTCCAACAACTGTATCTGTTCCCCAAAAAAAAAATAAAGACACATCAATCCATTTGCCGCCATTTTCTAAGCAAGAAAACACACAAGTCCATGGTTGCAGGTATAGCTCATCGGTAATTAGAGACCTGCTATGTGGCAAAAAGTAAAAGAACATTTTTCTAGAGAATTACAACCCGTTTAGTTCGCTATTCGAGTTTTTAATTCGAATTAAGATGTGACTTTATATAAGAGTTTTTTACTGTAGAAAAAAATTAGATGTGACTGTTTCTGAGAGATTTTTACTATAACAAAACTCGAATCGGTGAAATGAACGGGACCTTAATAAACCAACGTTCCGTCTTGACTTTTCCAACAGTCCCACACCGTTACATGGTACCACTGCGTATGTATGTGTTATCAATAGTGATAAATAACATTTTTCCAACCAAACTCAGAAAATAACTTCGACCCGTTCAGTTTATGGGTTTAAATCAGGATTTAAAATTAGTGATTTTGATTATGATTTTTGAAAGTTAAATTTTTAGTGAGAGAAAAAGAGAAAAATACTGTAATAAAATCAAAACTAAGAGTTTGAACCCATGAAAGAAACATACTTCTTCTTGTTATAGATAACTTTAAATTATCAGGAGAGTTAGTAAACCAACTTTCTTTCAAAATATGAGGACTTGATTTTAAGTCCCGACAATTATATCTTTCAAAAACTGTCGTAGGCCTTTAAATTAACGTGCTGCCAGAATAAGAGATCGTAACTTTTTTTTTTCTTTCCCCAATTACACACAAAAGCAAAATGAGGAATCTTTGGATAAAAATGAATACTTGTAAGCCAAGCCATTGAAACATTAATGCAAAAAATAATGTTAATGTTTTATTTAGGCGGGTATGATCATCTATGATCATTGGTCAGCCATGGAAAAACAAAGCAGTCATTTACTTATAAACAAGAATCGGTAATAAATATTCAATATACGCAGAATTACAAACATAAATATATAAATATATATATATATATATATCTATATATTGAACAATGGACATGAAAATGAGTAACCTGTTGGCGGAACATAGGGGAATCATCCAGCTTTTCGAAATGCATTTTTGAAATCAATGTCTTCTTCTTCTTCTTCTTCTTCTGTTCTACTTTTTTCTAGAGAGAGAGAGAGAGAGAGAGATTATTATTTCGAAGGCAAGAGAGAGGAAATGTTAAAGCTGCTAATGTTAATGGCAAGCGAGTTTGAAGGAATTTGCCTTTTTTTTCTAAATAAAAAAATGAATGGTCAACTCAAGCTCTCACCCGCCCTTTTTTCTGTCCGTTTGACTATTTCTAGGCGACAAAATTGTTTTTTCTTTTTTTTTTTTTTTTGTTTTACGCAAGTTAAAAGCTACTTCATTTTTTATTTTTTTTGCTGAAAAAAGCTACTTCATTTATTTTAGAACTCTATTGCTTTAGAATGGTCATGTATATTGATTTAGAATGGATTTCATATTTTGGCTCGTTTAGTTTACTGATTCAAATTTATATGTGAATTTTTTACTGTAATAAAAAAATTAAATGTGACTGTTTTTGAAAATTTTTTACTATAGCAAAACTCGAATTGGTAAAATGAACGGGACCTTTGTTTTCACATAGCCAAATTTAAGAAAGTCATGTTTTTGGTCCTATTAGTTTGTAAATTGTTACTAAAATAATTTGGTTTTTAATTTCTTTCTCCTATTAGTTTGATGATTTATTTATTTTAGTAGTTTTAGACCTTAGCAATATTTAGGAAAATATATTTTTGAATTTAACGGAGTTCATTACGTGATTATTGCATGGTCATTTAAATTTTACAGATACAATCATGTAAGGTGTAAAATCTTTAAATGTTCTCTTTAATTTCTCTGATCCTTTGAAAATTATAACATAATTATAGCATTTCTTCTTCTTCTTTCTTTAAACGTTATTGGTTTCGTTCTGTAACCTCATGGTTTGGCATTTTTTTACATAAAACATTTTAATTTTAGATCTTAAATTTACAGAAAGTAATACCAACTTCTTAAATAAAACATTTTAATTTTAGATCTTATATTTGCGACGATACTGTGGCGTCACAAAAAAAGTTTTTGCGACGACATATCTGCGATGACATGTCGTCGCTAAAACGATTATTTGCGACGACACTGGGGTTTTTGCGACGACTTTTTGTCGTCGCAAAAACCCCTTTTTCTTGTAGTGAGAACCTTAACGTGTTAAATTTGAATAGAATTAATTTAACTTTTGAGCCATTATCCTCAAGCAGTTGACAATATTTTGTTTATTGATAGTTTCATCCTTCAATTTGTACCGAATTCCTCAAAATCTATCTTAAATGGCAGGAGTTAATTGTTATTATTCTAAAAATGTAAAGACTAAATTACGTAAATTTCAAGACACAAGTGTTCTTGAAAGCCCAATATAGCTGAAAATGGCCAATAATGTATGATAAGTTTTTTTTTTTTTCTAATTACTATATTGTTCATTTGGATAATTTGTAAGTAAATATTTTTGGGGTAAATAGTCTTTCGAAACTTAAAGGTGGTGGATTAGTTTAATCCCTCCATTTTAAGTCGGTGAATTAGGAAGGAGACTACAACCCATCACTTCTTACGTCGCTCTTATTCTTGTAACCAAACAATAAATTTAGGCTCTGTTTGGTGCACAAGATAGGATAGTATAATTTTAGGGTTATAGATTGAATTGTATAAGTACAAGATTAGATTTGAGTTTAATCCAATCCCATGTTTAGTGTCATGTAATTAGGATAAGGGTATTTTGTAAAAGTTATAAAAATTTTGGGGGTTAAATTGTAATTTTTCAAAATTTAGGAGGTAAAAATATAATATTGTTTGTATTTTACTTATATAAAAATTGCAACTTGACCCCTCAACTTTTGAAAAATTATAATTAGACTCCAAATTTTATAAAAATTTACAAATAAGTCTCTAGTGTTTTAGTTAAAAGTTATCTCATGTTTCAGTAGGGGATAACAACATTCCCTTTTAAGGGGGGTTTGATAATTGACTGGATAAAAATTTATCCAATCCAGTCTTTTAAAAAGGTACACTAAACACATTATTAAAATTTAATTTTATCTAATTTTGCGCACTAAATAGGCCCTTCGTCTTCCCCCCCCCCCCTCTTCCTTCGTTCATTTTCCTTCCAGCCAAACATACTCCAAGATGTTTAGGTTTCACTAGAAGAATCCTTGGACCGTTCAACTATCTAACAAATTAAAAGATGCAAATTACTTGAATGAACCCTAGAATAAAGTTTTTAAAAAAATTATATGTAAATCACCTTACGGAATGTCATTTTCCGTATTTCTGGGGGAAAAAAATATTTCCAAAAATATACTATATGGTGTATTAAATAAATATACTTGGAACTTTTTTAAGATTTTTTTTTTTTTTTTTTTTTTTTTAGCCCCCCTCCAGCACGTAGGAGGATAATAAACAGCTTTGTTTAAATTCGTAAGTGCAAATTGAAGCTTGATTAAAATACAAGGCAGGATCATTGACCCCGTTTAGAACTGAATATATGGAGATATTGAAGATCTTTTGGCATTAAACATAGCGAATTGCGTGGACATCATTGATATAGAATCAACAACAAAAGCAAGCTCATTTTAAACTACTAAAAAAAAGAGAGGGAGAAAATTTTAATGCAAAAATAACTTGTACAAAAATGAATAAAGTCATTTTGCTAATTTCACTTTGTTGGATTGTCATTCTGGTAAATTTCTCTAACATATGTTAGAAATTAGAACAATAATATTAAAACATAATTTCAGGATAATAATATTGAATGCAGGAAACAAAATGACATAGTAGGAAATTTTATATAATACGTTGGTCCATAGTGAGAAAGTCATAATGTTACAAAGATCTTGTACTAGGTGAGATGATCAAGAGTCTTCAACTCACTATTTCTGATTGTAGTTGATGAGTAACTATTTGTGGAGTATAGCAAGACTTAATTTTAAAGAAAAATGCTTAAGGGCATCACTGGTGTTAAACACTATCACTAATAAAAAATGAACCTCACTTGTAGATTTCACAATGTGAGACTCACTTTTTATTGATGGATGGTGCTTAGCATGATCGGTGCCTTATAGGTATATTCAATTTCAAAAGATACGCTTAAATGACTCACTTTTTATTGGTGGACTCTCAAATTAGATGCACTTTAAGTCACTTATTTCACCTTTAAATGACTTGAGTAGTACTTAATTAAATTTCTATGAGTTAAACTAGTATTTACATCAATGTAATATCAATGCGAAGGCCACATTAAGTTGAGAAACTTCCAAGTCCAACAACAAAATCATATGCATATTTTCTTTTTTTTCTTTTTTCTTTTTTGGTTGCACGAAAAGAAGAATCCACAACAAAAAACTTCTTTTTGTTTTTGATAATTAAAAACTTCTTGTTTTAAATGTGAGATGCTGATTCCTTCTTTTCTTTTCCTCTTTTTTTTTTCCCTGTTACGTTTATCGCACACAAAAATTTAACAATAGAATAGATAATCTATTGTTTGATAAGATAATTGCAATAGCAAAAAGTAATCAACATATCATCATCACTATTATTATCATTATTACTTTAGTAAATATTACATTACACGACAAAATTATTTGAGTGCAGCAACAGTAAAAATGAGCGGAAAATGAAATGGAGGGGTAAAGTGAGAGAAATTCAAAGTTTGAAAGGCCTGTTTGATTCGTTGATTCGAATTTTTAATTTGAGTTGAGATGTGATTTTATGTGAGAGTTTTTTACTGTAGTAAAAATGTTAAATGTGATTATTTCTGAGAGCTTTTTACTTAACAAAATTTGAATCGGTGAAATAAACCGGACCTGAGATAATATAATGAGAGTTTTTAATTTTATGGGGGTAAAGTGGGGAGATCCTAAAATTCAAAGGGCATGAGCAGTGTTGGACTTTCGGGCGGCGGGCATGCCCGATGCCCGAAAATTTTCGGGCACGGCGGGCAGGCCCCTCTCGCCGCCCGAAAATGTTTTTCTTCGGGTAGCCCGAAAATGGTAAGCCCCCCGACAGCCCGCCGCCGTGGAGAAGCCTTCCCCCGCCGTTCGCCGGATTTTTTTTGAATTTTCCGGCAAATACCCGAAGCTGCCCGAACTGCCCGAATTACCCAAATTTTTGTGACCGTTGCCCGAATTTTGGTGACCGTTGCCCGAATTTCGACCCGTGCCCGAAAAATGCCCGATTTTTTTTTACCGTTAGCCCGAAAATGCCCGAATTTTGAAAAAAAATGGTCTTTTCCCCGAACCCGAACTCGAATTTTGCCCGAATTTTTAAACCAAACGGTCGGATTTTTATCCGTTGCCCGAATTTTGCCCGACCTGCCCGAAAATTTTGTAGCTGTTGGACCCGAATTTTTGGGGGGAAAAAATTTTTTTCAACCCAAAAATTTTCCTATAAATACCCCCTCCCCCCAACCATTTTCCTCACCCCAAAACTCTCATTCTCTCTCAGTTTCTCTTAATCTCTCTCAAATCTCTCTTAATCTCGCTTAAATCTCTCGCAAATCTCGATCTCTCTTAAGCTCTCTCAAAGCGCTCTCAATCTCTCTTATTTTTCATAATGGCTTCTTCTGGTTATGGTGGTGGTGGTGATATTCCTATTGATGCCCAATTCAACATCGAAGAAGGGCAATTTCCTAATGTTTTTCAATCGCAGGAATCGCAAACTATGGAAAGAGATGCTGATGAAACTACAAATCCGACCCCTAGTGGATGTACTAGAGGTCGGGGACGCAATGGTGGTGGCACAAGTGGCCGTGGAGGAGAGGCAAGCGGTAGTGCTAGTGCAAGTGTTGCAAGTTCTAAGAAGAAATGTAAGCGCACCTCAGCAGTTTGGGAGCACTTCAACACATTCGATGACGTCGGCAATAACGGTAACATTAAATACGTAGCTCAATGTAAATATTGTGGTGAGAAATTACAAGGTAACACTATTCACGACACTACACACTTAAGAAGGTACTTTGAAAAGTGTCTTCAAAAGCAAGGAGGCGGAGATTAACTCCGCCAAACACAATTATCGTTTGACCGCCAAACCGGCGGGCTAAGCACGTGGAAATACGATCCGCAAGTTGATCGTATGGAAATGACACGATTAATAGCCACATTAGATCAACCACTAAGTTTTCCTGAACAAAGAAATTGGCAACGTTATATTAAAATTGTACATAATCCTAATGCACAATTTTTTTCTAGAACTACTCTTAGGAAAGATGCATTAAAATTATATAAACAAGAAAAGGAAACATTAATCAACCTTCTACACTCTACTAGTGGTTGCGTTGCGTTAACGGCGGATATTTGGTCCACTATTACCAATAAGGATTATTTAGCTGTAACCGGACATTATTATAAAGGTTTTGATTTGGATAAGAGAATCTTAGGTTTCAAATGTGTTATAGGATCACATACTGCCAATTTAATATATAACACAATTTTATCTGTTATTGATGAATATAGTTTAAGAGATAGAATAATGGCCATAACATTAGATAATGCAACTGCGAATACTAAAACAATAGAACTTTTTGAAAATGATTTAAGTTTATTTAGTAATAATGATATTTTCCACCAACGTTGTGCATGTCATATAATTAATTTAATAGTAAAGTCCGGTTTAAAATCAATGTCAGGTCATATTAAAAGAATTAGAGATAACATTGCTTGGATTCAAGGTAGTAATCAAAGAATACAAGATTGGTTTAGATTTCTACAAGCATGTAATCAAAATC